CTATTGGCAATTTTATTGTCACGAACCTCAAGCTCGTAACAATATCATAATTAAAGTGTTTTTATGAGCTTAGGTATTGTTTTTTTCCCTACTCCGATTTTTTTTAAGTATTATATGGCCACATAGCCACAAAAAATATGATACCAAAAACATGACATTAGACGATTTTTATGAGTAGCAAGATTAATGATCCAATCACCACATTTCATTAGTGACATTGTTGAAGTTCTGATATTAGTTACAGAACATTTTAATACTACAGAACTGGTTTTAATAATGAACTCATTACAACTAGCATTATAATTATAGTACAAATTTTTTTTTATTAGACAAGCTTCAATCGCCAAATAAAAATCCTGTACCAGCAGAAGTTTTGGAAACTAAAGTAATATATTTCAAAATCTCTTTCCAGTCAACAATGGATTAAGTTTATTACATAGAAAGCAAATAATGGCCATATTTTTTTAATTGGTACTATGATTAATAAAGTTGTTATAAAAGTATTAAATAAAGTGTTATTACAAACTAATAAGATATTTTGTCAAGTATAATAATTTGTATATTTGTATGGATCGTTGTATAAGCTAGTTATATGTGTTATTAATTCGTCTACTCCTGCCGTAGGAATGCTTCTCCAACTTCCGTTTCTGATTGTCCCTGAACTGAAGTCTTCTTCGTCTACTAATTCGGGAGTATTTATGTATATGCGATTAGTCCGAAGCCAGGTATGCAGCGCACAGGTCGCATTGTGAAATGAAACAGATATAGGTTTTCTGTATACTCTGAATCGTGAAGCCATTATGCCAAAGGCATTCTCTACAATTCGGCGTGCTCTTGATAGTCTGTAATTAAAGATTTTTTGTTTGTCTTCCATACCTTCATGTCTTGAATACGGTTTCATTATATAGGTTGCCAAAGTGAAAGTATCATCACCAACGAAAACTGCCTTATTAGGTAGTTACAAATTATTTCTTTCAAGAGCACTATAGAACTTTGTTTTTTTCCAAATATGCGTATCATTCAGGCGTCCATTAGTTCCGAAATCTATATATATGAAACGGTAATGTGCATCCACTATAGCAAACAACACCACACTATAAGTGCCTTTGTAATTATAATAGTCTGAAGCTCCGTGTGGTGAATTTCCTATTAATACGTGTTTTCCGTCAGTAGCCCCACAGCAAAAAGGAAATTGCCAGAGATCTAAAAAATCCTTTTGTATTTTATTCCATTGATCTGTGGTGGATGGCACCTAAAAGAAATAAACTTATATTAGTATATGGTTACAGGGAAAAGAAAACGAAGAATCAGCGGTGAACACAATCAGCGACGCGTCTTCATATTTTGATGAATTGGGACAAGAATCTAATATTGCGCACTTACAAAAGAAAAAAAATTGTCTCCAAAGAAAAAGGCGGAGCGTGCTCTAAGAATGGACGCACCTAACCTGTTTTACAAGCAGTCAATAGATTAGAATTTTTGGCTCAAAGTATCCTTCAAGATGAATTTGACACATTCGGAGTACATGTGGCAAACCAATTACGTAGTTTGCCATTAACAAATGCTATTGTTTGTCAAAATTTCATCAATAATTATTTGTCACAAGAAAGACTTAAAATCTTAAATACACAACATTTTCCCATTGCTAGACCTACGAGCTCACTCTCAGAGTATACACGCTATACTTCGACTCCTGAATCCGAAGCTACTACTTCCCGAAACCAAGCTTTTCGAAACCATCGTGAAACTTCAACTCCCGAAGCTTCCACTTCTGGAAGGCACCTCGAATATATGAAGAAGACTATTTTGCCAGCTGTTTACTAACACAAGAAAATACTAGGCAACAATACGCAGTGAACGACGATATTCTATCTCAAGCTGTTAAATCATGCTTAGATGAAAACACAATGGAAAATTATAAATATATCGTTTATAACTTAATTACTAATTTCACTTACCATAATGAACTCCTGTAAAAGGTTGTATATAGAGCATCCAAAACATCCTTCAAAAACAGGGAAATTGTGCATTCTGGAACTCTAAATGACTCTGCAAGACTTGAGTAGTTATCACCAGTAGCCAAGAACTTCAGGGTTATTTCTAATTTAATTTTCGGAGAAAGTACTTCTCGCATATTGGTATTGCATTTTTGTATAAGCGGAGTAACCTTATATAATAAAGTATTAAACTGATCAGTAGTCATTCTTAATCGATTTTTAAAATAATCAGGATCTTCTAAACTCCACTCAACCAATAAAGTATCCGAAGCACCCAAGACCTTACGTCGAGAAATCCATCCACGTACCCAAACATTACGTTTTTTTTTTCTTTCCTTTTGTTTTTTCTTCTCTCTTTGTTCTTTAAGCAATTGTTGAATAATTGAATAATTATTTCAATTCCGGCACAAATAGCTATTCTGCTCAACATTTTCGATGGAAATGACCGACCCGCTTGCGATTTTAGTAACCTGTGTAAATGGGCTAGCGATGCGGCTTGTTGAGGCAATTTGTGAAGCGACTCGCAGCACGGCGAATATCGACCCGTGTAAATACCCCATTACGATAAATGCAAGTCTCTACAGCCGAGATGCCGTGCAAGATCGTTAATTATCTTTACTTTACGATGTCGTTACGCTAACGAAAAACGTTTTCATAGTGCGGGTTTTCTTAAAAAAATGTTGGCTGTTAACAAATAATAGGGAAAATTTTCAGACATAATTTTATTAAAATAATTGCTTTTCTTTGAAAATTGTGCAGAAATAGAAGAAACCTTTTCTTATAAAAATATTTTTTATGTATTTTACAAGTAGCTTTTACCGTTTCTAAGAATTGAACTAACTTGTTAAATATCAAAGTACATAAAAGTTTACCTCCTTGCAACACTATTACATTCAATTCTGTCTGTCTCGATTTGACAACGTAGACATTACACATCATCTAGTTAGTTTGTGTTACATATTTTATAAAATTTATTACATATTTTTATTAAAAATATAGTTTATATGATATTTTCTATGGTGGGGGACCAGAGGCGGCGTAAGGCGTGGGCGACGTGGGCCACCGCATACGGCCTCGCGATCTAGAGGGCCTCGCGCCCTGGAGGTTTATGCTTTACTTAAAACCGTAAACGCGTCGAAAAAACGTCATTGTCATGAATCAATATTATTGACATAACTAAATATGTTTTTAGTCAGTCTAGCAACATTAGTTTACGTTGCTATTGCGGGAAATCCCCGCTGCGGGGCCACCAGTACATATACAATAATCTATGTGGACGAAAAAGGCTGAGGATTGCCCGTTTCTGTTTGTTAGACATAGAATACCGACTTTATTTAATCGTGGGCGCGTGGCAATCGAGTAGAGTGCGGTACAACAGCCCACGTGGTTGCTGTACGTATATTTTCGCGCTGTACGCACATGAGTAGATAAACGGAACAGACACAAAGTTTCTTAAGGACTTGCAAACTTGTTACCTATTTTGGTAGGGTTGTCACTATAGGTGAAGACAAATTAAAGCTCTAGAACGTTTACGTACATTTTGTGACTGGATTAAAGAATATCGAACTTGTTTCGAAAAATGCTTGTCTGGTTCTCAACAGTTTATTGAAAAAAAAAACTGTTATGATCCGCCAAAGACTTTAAAAATAAAAGAGTAGCCTAAAATAAAAAGAAAGACTCCTAAAAGTCAGTATGAAACAGAATTTTTCAACACCATGCTTGTTCAATTATATCTAACAAATATGGATTTGAGATTTATGGCTTTAAACCAACATTATGAAATTTTTGGTTTCCTTTATTATTTAAACAAGTTAAAAAATATTCCAAACCATCTTATATTAAAATAACTGTCAAGATTTACAAACAGCCCTGCAAGTGGGTGAAAGCAGAGACTTTCAACCTTACGAATTATATGAAGAATTACAATTCAAGATCCCTAATTTACCTAATTTCGTAACATATGTGAAACAGTTTCTCCAATACGTTACAGAAAATAATTTAAAACAATATACCCAAACATTTACATCGTCATTTAACAATACCGATCAGTACAGCCTCCGCTGAAGGAAGCTTCTTAAAATTAAAACTCATTAAAAATTTTCTCAGGAATGTAATGTGCAAAATTAAGGATAAAAAGCAGAATATCTATTTCTTCATTTTTCTTTGAAATTGTTTGGTGTTGGTACTTAATGATTTTGTATGAATAAATGTTGCATAATTTCAAGCATTTTGTTTTTTTTTTAATTTTTATTATAATCCGTCTTCTTGCGCAGGCAGAGGGCTTCGCAAAATGTATCTTTCCCACATAAAATTTAGGTCTTGCGCCGCCACTGTGGAGGACAGTGACGCAGGCGCAGGCCCGGTTTCGAGCTGTGTTAAGTACAACCCGAAAAATATAACTGGTAAAACCTGTCCAAATAAATCTATGTGTACACCTATTTCGAATCTATCGTTGTTTATTTAATGATTTGTTTAGAGACCGTAATTTTTACAATTTGAATATTTACTTCTATGTACGTTTCAGACGTAAGCGTACATCACGAGTTACGAGTGGGCAGCTTGAGATACTACTGTCCAAGCCGGAAGTTAGTCCACATTTATACACTAGAAAATTTAGTGGCCTGCAGGGCAAAGAAAGTTTTGAAAAGGGCTGAAGGGAAGTTGCCAACGACTCAACCAGCTTCCCAACGGATCCGTCAAGACGCCTGAGCAGTGGCAATAACAGGTAAGTTTCTATTAAAGAATTTTCCCGATTTACTACTACATAAATCGGCCAGCACATTATGCAACGCCAGTGTACTTAATATTTACTTAAAATACATAATTATTTATTTTGTAGGTATGGAGACTTCAAAAGCTGGGCCTGCACTAAAGCGGCAAAATTAAGAAGAGAAAGGATGCGGACCGGCAACCAAGGCATCACCACTGCTTCACTGAGGTGGAAAAAAAATTGTGTCGCTGATAGGTGTTGAATACACATTTGGCAGCGACTGTCCTGACTCTATGCCAGAGGAAGAAGTGAGTTCAGTAATGTGTAGTATATACTCTTAATAATTACTTATATACAATTTCATATACTTAATGAAACTTCATAATCTTAGTTTTTGGTTTTAATGCAATTTACAATAATAAATACTTTTACTAATTATTATAGACATTACAACATGAGATGGAGGCTGGGGTGGAAATAGTAGAAGTCATTTGTTTGTCTCAATGTAAGTTTTTAAGATATATTAAAAATATATTGTAAATTCTGTTGCACTTTAAACTTACCTACAATGTATTAAAACACAAATTTCAATTACAGGTAATAAATACCAGTTGCTTGAGAGAGATAAAGCATCGCCAGCACCACAAATTAGTAAGTTTGTTATTTTTATTACACCTACATTCATACCTCTCTACATGATTATATTTCACTAATATATTTTATGTATTTGATTATTTCAGTAGCAAGTGGCAGCAGAGCCACACCCGTTGCTTCACCAGCACCCAATCAACAACAGGTGCAAGAAGTAACTATGCAGTCAGCAGCACCACAAATAAGTAAGTTAGATCTATGTTATTCATGTAATTCTTATTTACATACATTATATATTTGTGCTCCGCTGTTTTATCCACTATTTCAAGATAAATGGTTTATGTGTCAAATTTTATATAGGTCTTCTGCTGTTTTAGTGTAATTAATAAGCAAACAAAAATCTTTGAAAATATTCGCCTTTATACTATTAGTAAGATTGTGATCATTTTATGTGTATTATTTCAACAGTGAGAGGCAGCAGAGAAGTACCTGTCATTACAACACCACCCACGGTACGACAGGAGAGGCCCAGAAGGATAAGGAGTAAGCTTGCATTTCAATTAAGTGCTAATAATATAAACATTAGTTCACAAGATGATCAGATTGAGCAGAATAAAGCCAAAAATTATTTTAATTACAATACAATAAATTTTGGGTATTTTTAGATCTGAATCCTCGCCAATCTACTGCCGAGCAAGTGAATATAGCTCGGGAGGATTTCCTGGCAGTTGCAAGATCTAATTCAGATTCAATGAGGGTATGCTATAACATTACATCTACATTCTGAACTAAACAGAAGAAAAAATCAATATATTTTTACATGGTAGAGCCATGCTGCGATTATGTTTGTAGTACAGTCGTAGCAAGGGGCCGGCTCGACTGATGAAGAATAGTTATGATAATTAAATAAGCGATTTATTAGCTGATTTACAATGAATTCTATGCAGTATAACACAACGCTACTGCACAATTTAACTGTTATTCTTATCTGTTCTTAACAATACATTTAAAATGAAATCATGTTATGATAATTAAACAAGTGAATTTCTAGCTGATATACCATGCATTTTTTTAGAACATAACAAAATGCTACTGCACAATTAACTGTTCTTAACACTTAAAATAGAATTTAAATAAATAAAGGAAAATACAGCGAGCAGAAGTTAAAACACCTCCAAGATTATTCTCTTTTTATGAAATTATTAATTGAATAATAATCGAATCGCTATCGATATTATGATGTTATGATAATTAAACAAGCGAATTACTAGCTGATTTACTATGAATTCTTTAGAGTATAACAAAATGCTACTGCACAATTTAACTGTTTTTGTTATCTGTTTTAACAATACATTTAAAATGGAATCATGTTATGATAATTAAACAAGTGAATTTTTAGCTGATTTACCATGAACTGTTTGGAGCATAACAATACGCTAGTCCACATTTTAACTGTTCTTAAAAATACACTTTGGTTGCGCGGAAAACCATTCGCGTTTTTATTTTTGACGGTAGGAACTTGCCGAATCATTATTCCCTTTCCCAAACGATATCATTCGTACCCTCCTATCGACACATCGGGGTGATGGGGTGGGAGGGGAAAGAAGACGATTCTAGAACATCGCGTAATCATCGGACCCGAGGATATATAAGACACGCGCGACCGACGCGCGCTCTTCTTCCCGCCGCAGCCGTCGTTGAACTACAACGCTTCTCTCCTGACGCACCCCTGGGGCCCCAGAGTGTCTGTCCAGAGGAGGTTCCGGAAATCGCCGCTATAGTGCTCTAAAGGATAGAAGAACCCCGGCAGGATTCCTTTCATCGATTTGGCAAGTAATAGTTTTAGTTTAGGGAAGAGCGAGTGCATTGTACCGCATGCTATAGTAGTCGCTTTTACATAAGCATAGAAGCAATCGCAAATACAGTCCACTTTAGTTAATATCTCGCGTAATAGGTTTGAGGTTTGACCGGGGAACTAGATTTTCGGCAGCCTTAAACACGTGGCTCCACCATTTTATGGTCACTTCGGCAGGATCTGGATTGGTGTTTAGTGGTTATCCAACCATTTTCTGGTCGAATTTTAAATTAATTGTTTAGATAACGCACTGTAATTTATGGAATAGACTTAAATAGTGTTCGTTTAAATTAAAAATTTGATTTGGTACTCGCAAACAGAATTATTCATTTAATAGCGCTCGTATTTGGTTAAATTTAAAGCTTATTAAACAATTGAAACGGTGTGATAGCAACCGTTTGATACGCTTACCCACAATTTTGATAAAATTATTAGGTTTAGCAAACGACGCGTAGACTCGACCGCAACGGGTGTTCGATCTGATTACGTAATACGGCACGCCGAGTGTTCATCCTACGTCGTTTATGCGTGTGAGATTAATTGTGATTAATATAACTTTATTATAATAATTTAAAATGGCAGTTAGTGGAAGTGAAATCAAAATTAAAACGCTTTATGCCAAGAGGGACATACTCTTTTCGCGTGTGCAGAATATAAGTAATTATATAAAGAACATTAATATAGAGGCAGTGCGGGAAGCCTTTTTGAATGAAATCGAAACGATAGATACTTTGCGGATAGATTACGAAAGAATATTAGACCAAATTAATCATTTGGAATTACAAAGCGACCCGAAATACATAGTGAACTACCAACCGCTGCTGGCATTCGAAGATATGTTGTGTCGCGTAAAAAGAACTGCAAAACTCCTACAATCTCAAAGCGAAGCAAAGCCGGAAATACAGGTACGCCCTCGTGACTCAATTAGGTTACCGCCAATAGATATTCCGGTATTCAATGGTGATATTAAGACGTGGCCCTTCTTCTTCAGTAGTTTTCAAAACAATATACACAACAACCCATCGTTATCGGACGCTGAAAAATTATATTACTTAATTAGCAAACTTAGTGGCAGAGCACAGTCGATCTGCTCGGGTTTTACACCTACAGCAAACAATTACGTATTAATATTTGAAACGCTTAAAACTAAATATGAAGATAGGAGAATGTTAGCTTCCGAATATTTGAACCAGATATTCGATCTTAAACCTATATCATCCGCGAACATCAACGGCTTAGAGCAGTTTCTAGATAAATTTGTGGCATCGGTGGCTGCACTTAAGAATTTGAAGTTTGATGACCTTATGGACGTGGTGTTTCTCCATATAGCATTAAAGAAATTAGACTGCGACACCGTGCGTGCGTTTGAAATGGAGCATCGTAGCTCGGAGATGCCTTCCTTTCATTCATTAGCATCGTTCGTGCGAGATCAAATAAAGGTGATGCAGCGCTCTCCGAACGTTAAACAGGAGATTAAAAGGTGCGTCGACCGTAGACAGACTCAACCATCTAAAATAGCAGGGTCGTTAACTTACGTAACCGCTACGCCGACATCACTCCAGCATACTTGTATAGTATGTAAAGATAAACACGGTAATTTATATAATTGTGCGACTTTTCGTAAATATTCACCAAGCGAACTGTTATATCCCTTTTTACAAGACAACAAAATATTAGTAAGCATTTATTTAATCACACGGTACTTCTCCTTAATATAGCTATAGTCAGCAATTATATTGTTATATTGTTCTTTTGTTGTATTGTTCTTTTGTTATATCCCTTTTTACAAAGCAATAAAATATTAGTAAGCATTCATTGAATCACACGGTACTTTTCCTTAATATAGCTATAGTCAGCAATTATATTGTTATATATTGTTTCTTTCCATTTTTAATGTTCAGTTAGACTCAGAGCCCCGGGTAGATCGGACATAGATTCCGAGACTTATTAGAGTTCGGAAGTCAAGGACTATATTAATTTGGTGTGAACTTTTTTTTGCAATAAACCTTTAGGTTTATTTGGTGTTTCTTTTTTTTAAAAAGTCAAACGGGATCGGCCTCCTAACAAATTGGTGTCAGAAGTGGGATGCCAAACAGAAGGTCATAAAAGACTTTGGCATCCGAATCCGAGGTCCCCGAAATCACCAAGGTCGACATTAAGCCTTAGCCGTGCCTAAGCCTGCGCCTACCACAATTTGGACGACGATCAGCCTCCGCTCTGAAGCGTGAGCCCGCTCCATTCACATCTGGTCCTGAAATCACCCGTCTGGCCGACGATCAGCCTCCACCAGGAGCCCGCACCAGCTGGGTCTAACTCACCAACATAAAAACATTTTCTGAAGAATATTCTACATCTTTCATTCCTACCATTTCCCACGACGCGACGAAGTCACCGTGTCAGCGATTCCGCCCGCCAGCCGCCACGAGTGTAACGTGTCACCGAGCCATTGTTACGAGTAAATGCAACGTATAGAAGTTATTATTTTCCTGTAAGTCGTTTTGTTTTGTAAATTAAATTTATAAAATTTACCTTTATTTTACACTGTTTTGTACTATAACCTTTTTACTTCATTTTATTGTGATTATCTTATATAACTTCAAATTTTAATTTTATTTCTATGTCGCTTAAAGCAGAAAAAAGTAAAGACAATATGTCAGAAAAAATCACACTTTCGTTTTTGACGAAATTTATAAAATCTTATAATGGGGAGAAGGAATCTCTCCCCGCTTTTCTTACCAACTGTGATAATGCAATGTCGTTAGCTACGGCAGAACAACAGCCTATTTTGTGCAAATTTATTATCTCACAGCTAGAGGGAAAAGCTCAGGTCGCATGTAGTTTAAAAAGTTTTGAAACGTGGAACCAAATAAAGTCATTTCTTCGTTCTACTTTTGGGGAGAAAAAACACTCAACACATTTATTATCAGATTTGCAAAATTGCAAACAGTCTTCCGACGACGTTACTAAATTTTCTTTAAGATTAGAACAAATTTTAACAAAAATTCAGTCAGATATACACTATAGCTGCAAAATTCCTGACGAACTTCCAGGTAGAATAGCCGCCATGGAGGACCTAGCATTAAACACATTTTTATTAGGGTTAAACCCTGCTATTTCTACTATTGTTAGGTGTAGAAATCCTCAAACTTTAAACGAAGCTGTTCAATTAGCCATAGATGAAGAAAAATTACAGAATCTTCAAATGTGTTCAAAAAATTCAATGAAGCAGTGTAATATATGTAATAAAGTAGGTCATGTCGCTACGCAATGTTTCAAAAATAAGAACCATTCTAATTTTAAACACAATAAACAAATTTCTCATTTATCTAGTTCTAATTCTGATAAATTAATTTGCAACTATTGCAAAAACATAGGGCACACTATTGATCAATGTAGAAAGCGACAATATAATATGCAACATCGTCAAAATTTTAGTAAAAATTTTAATCGTAACCCTAATACTAGTTCTAACTATATAAATCGTAGCTCAAATAATAATTCTAATTTTGTAAGCCGTAACCCTAACCCTAATTCTAGTTCTAACTCTGTGCCTATGCACATGACATGTAATAACGACGACACTATCGATAATTCTAACTCTTTAAACTAAATAAGATTTCGGATACGTGTCTGCCGAAATCGTACTGTGGTAATGACACGAAAACAATTAATAATACTATTTCTACTAACTTTTACAAAAATAATGCTAAATCTTATTCTAATTCTAATTCATCTCGGCGATGCATTAACAAGCAACCGAGTCATTCTAATTCATTTACATCTCAGCAACCCAAGGAGGTGAAGCTGAGTCTTACTAGTTCTCATGCACCTCAGTTGACCGAAAAGGTACAACCGAGTCTTACTAAGTCGTTTACTATATCTACATCTCAGCAACCCAAGGAGGTGAAGCTGAGTCTTACTAGTTCTCATGC